TTTTTTAGAAAATTCTGTTTTTTTTTGTTTGTCGACAAAGATTAAGTCGAATATTAGTTTATTTCAATAAAATTTTGAAATAATATTTTTTTCTCAAGAATTTTTGCTATTAGCACTCTTAGGTGTGCCATAATACCTGTCCTGCCCTTATATGAATAATTTATTTTTGAATCCAGACCAAAAGATGATGTCATATATATAAAATTGGCCTGGGTTCAAAAATAATTACCTATATGGTAAAAACTAGTAATAAAACATGGCGTTTCATAGGGCTAGAGCCTTACTTATGAGGTACTTAAATTTCAAAATGAAATTAACTTATATCTATATGCATTTCATTAAGTAGTTGATATCTATATGCATTTCATTAAATAGTTGATACGTATATAGTACAGTAGTATGTTTTTATTACGTAATTTAAAAACTGGTGAAGATAAATTAAAAAACAGGTATGTATTATTTTAATTAATATTCGGACTTTAATCATCACATGTTTTAAACAGGTGAAAAAATGGTTTGTAATAGTTATATTCTGGGCAGTTAAGTATAAGCAGAAATTTACTGATAAAATATAATTACGTATCGCTTACATCAGTTATAAATTTTCGCAACTACACAGGATGTAACTGGTTTATTGTTAAATGTAAGTAATTAATATATACGTGAACAAATATATGCTTCAGTTTTTAATAATTAAACAGTTAACATAGGAAAAATTTATGCAATAAACATTTCATTAGGTTGATCGAGTTAAGGAGGTTTAGCATTTTTTTTTTTTTTAACATACCGAAATTTATCTTATATACTAATACAATAGTAAGAAACCTCTCTTTACAAAGAGGAATTAAATTTGATTGCAGAAACTGCATTATAAAATTTCTTTTAAAAGATTACAATCATCATCATACAAATAGCAGTAACAAGCTATTTTGGTTCGAAAATTTATAGTTAAAAATAAATGATTATAATTTGCAAATATATAAAATAATATTGTGTTCATCACTTGGGCTTATTTTCTTAACAATATGATTTTGATGTTTTCAACGATCTTGTCTTTTTGTTGGTTCATTATTCGATAACCCGTTCTTGTAGATATCATAAAAGCTAATCTTCTTTTAGTATCATTTTTATAGCCGTTTGTTTAGGCATATAAATTCTTTTACGTTTTTACATTTTTACACTTTAATACAATAAATTATTAATCAGTTAGCTTTAGTGAAGTCTCATTTATTATTTTTTTAAAGATCTTTAATGATTGGATTTTTGATTACTATTTGTTAACGTTAATGATCAGACTTTTAATTAAAATTTCTACAGAGGATGGCAATAAGCCAAATACATCAACATTACAGGGGTAGAAGCCAGACATCGTCTCAAATTAGTAGAGTAAGGAAAGGTTTTCCCCTCCGCTCTAGCCCAAAAACAAAAAACCAATCATCAGCTATACTTCAGTCAGTATTTTACGCGATATAGAGGATAGTGTTTCAAATCGTTAGTTGAAAAATCAACTAGTTGCCAACTTTCCAACTAGTCGATTTGAAAAAATTTTAAACAACTAATCGATTAATCATTCAACTAGTACAATTCCGAGAAATTTCGTCTAGTCGGGCAGATCCGTATTAATTCCTTTAGTTTGATTGGCTAATCATCTGATGATGCCACGTGATGTGAACAATTGCATATGGGCAGATTTTGGAAATTTGGTGATATTTTCGAATAAGATCTTCAAAATTGTATCAATCATGTTTGTAAAATTTGTAATAATTTCGAATTTATTTTATGTTGATTGGTTGATTTATTTAGTAATGCTAATCACAATACTGTATTACAGTACTTACTTTTATGAAGCCTCTGCTTTTTTTTTTTATTGTAGCTTGAAAATTTGTATTTACGTTTAGCAAGACCTCAGGATCAAAGATCCCAAAATAGTTTTTTAAGATCCCAAAATAGACAAAACTTTTACTAGTAACGATGTCAAAGGTTTGTTTTATTAAAATAATAGTTAAGGTGCTGTTTATTTTTACGAATCCTTTGCATTTTTTCTTTATTAATAATGGTTTGAAAATTTGTATTTATGCATAACAAGACCTTAGATTCAAAGTTCCTGAAATAGTTTTTTAAGATCCTGAAATAGACAAAACTATTACTAAAATAATGTCAAAGGTTTGCTTATTAGAATAATAGTTAAAGTGCTATTTACTTTTTACGAAGCTTCTGCTTTTTTTTTTATAATAATGGTTTGAAATTTATGCTTAGCAAGACCTTAGTTTCAATGATTGTTTAAAATTCTAGAACAAGCAAAGCTTTTACTAACGATTATATTGAAGGTTTGCAATGAAAATTGCAAAGTTAATTTATTTTTAAAAAAATCTAGATACATTTGCGCAATGATTCCACTATCTTGTATTTTAGAATTCATTAGATAGATCGATATAATATGGTTTAAACGAAAATAAATATAAGCGATGTTGTTTAATTAATAATGTATAAATCAAAGTATGTCGTAGTAATGTATTTCCTTGTAAACGTTAATGTCATAGTAATGTATTGCCTTGTAAACGTTAATAATATTACTTGTGAATTTAATTTTTTAATTGATCTGATTGGTTATGTAGATCCTCATGACTTTGTTTATATAATTTTATTGGTTAATCTATTTTTAGGTATCATGAATATCACATTCAAATTCAGGTGATATATTTGAATTTCCAAAATCTGCCTATATATCTATATATAGATCACATGTGGCACAACCTGATTGACTGATGATCAACTGCGCGAAATTCTTTACATGTATATCCATTACATGTCATTTTTATAGCATCTATATTATTTATTTTACATATTATATATATATTATTTGTCTTATATGTAGTATCTGTATTATGTATATTATATATTTTATTAGTACTATTTGTAATATTTGTAGCATAGGTACTAGATATAGATCGTTATGTTTCTAAAAAATTAAAAAGTATAAAAGCAGCAGATGTGGACCTTGAGTTCAACATTGTGTCTTCATACACTTTCAATAATAAAATACTTTTGAACTTAAAATCCTAAACAGTTATTAGTATCTTCATATTTATATAATTAATTCTGAGTTTGTATGTTTTAATATTTTTGATTAGACATAGCTAAAAAGTGTGCCCGAGTATGAGAATTCTGAGTTGTGCATTTTAACATTTTTGAGTAGACGTAGCTAAGAAGCATGACTTGAGAGTGAGAATTCTGAGTTTGCGTGATATAATTTAAGCATATTTTAACATTTTTGATTGGTCATTACAAGTATGTACAATATTCAGGTAATTTGATAAATTGGGTTATCGCTATGTAATTATAACATAATTGCTGAATTGCAGAATTACTGTATTGGGTTATCACTATACTATGTAGTATGACATAATTACCAAATTATTACTGTATTAGATTATCACTATGCTATTATAACATAATTAATAAATTTTATGACTATAAAAAATTTAAGCAAGAAGCTGTATATTTTAACATTTTTGATTGGTCATTATAAGTAATAATATTTAGTTGATTTGATAAATCGGGTTATTGCTATCACTATAAAAAAAGTTAATCAGTGTTTTATATTTCATGTTTTATTCGAATTTATACAGAAATTTTGGTCTATTATATCAAGTTGCAGAATCACAACGTTTTTATAGAAATTAAAAAGATAAAATAGAAATATTCAAGTAAGAGTTTTTACAGTGATAATGAGTTATAAATTACTTTAAACATATGTATATATATTTTTTTTTAAACTCGAGTAGGAAACCAAATTTTGAATAAGATGGGTGGCGCTCTGTACCACCCATCGCACTAGTACTTTTAATTGTTGCCTCTTTTGAAATTGCAAATTGGCTTAAATTTTTTTTGTTAAGTTTTGTAAAAATGCCATACTGATTTAGTTAAAATACAGTAACTCGGGATGTTATACAAAGTATTCACTGGCTACAGTTGCTCTAGTTACCTATTATCTTTAAAGAAGTGAATATAGGATAACAAATTGGTGGTGACTGTGAGATACAGACTCTACCTGTGAAATTTTGTAAAGAGAACATCCAATTTGTAGAACGATTGGTACTAATTAAAGTCAATTAATTTTGCTCTTTTTGAGCTGAAATTTTAAGGGTACATCTGTTAATATGTTCCGCAACTTTTGTTATAAGCTTATCATAAGACGAAAACGCCACTGGAACCCGTAAAACGTGTTGATGGCATTTTTCTTCTTTAAAGATCTGCAAAGAAAGGAATATTTAGAAACGTTTGGTACTAAGTGAAGTCAATCAATTTTGCTCCGTTTGAGCCAAATTTTAAAAATAACCTCTTGAAGACTCTGCGCAATTTTTCTACTAAGTGTATCTTAGTGAAAAACGTGACTTTGATCTGCAATAAGCATTGGAAACTTAGACGAAAATTTTTATTTTTTATTTTGTATCTGTATAATGAATTTTTAACTATTCAAGCACTATATCAAAATGAATTTTTATGGTCAAAATCAAACACCTACCATTAGTCAAGCCAGACCATGTCAACCTTTAAAGAAAAGCACTCAATATCAAATGAAAAAGACCTTATTACAGCAAGACCAAGAAAAATCATGGAATTATAAAAAAATATCCTGGTGTACTTATTGTAATATAATAGAACATATAATTAGTAAATGCCCTAAAGTAGAAGAGTTAGATAAAAAATGTGTTGCTCTAACTAAGACTCTTACTGATGAACAAACTGCTAAATTTCAACAACTCATTAATGAAGCCTTTGAAAAAAATTACATCAATAATGAGCAACTTTCTTAGGCTCTAGAATTAGTACTTGAGATATTAGAGGATTTGATAGATAGAAGAAAGCTGATAAAAAATAGTGATGAAGATATACCAGTTATATACTTACTTCCCTATATTCAAATGACTCTAATTACAAAAAAGAAAAATCTACTTCTTGCATCTTTAGAAATTTTAAACCTAGAAGATTCTTTACCAATGCCTCAAAACAAAAAAGAGCTCACCTCCAAAAATTTTGATTCTCATTATATTCTTGATGAATCTGTAAATACAGAGCTTAATTTTGAGAAAGAAAATTTAGAAATAGAACCTCTTTTCCAAAAGCCAATTGACCAGTACAAAGCTATTATTCAGGAATATATCTATAAAAAGAAGAAAGTTCCTTTACAAAAATCTTCAAGAAATTATGACAAAAATAAAATTACTACAAATAAAGATCAAGACAAAATAATCAAGAAAGAAAGATGTGTCAGCATTATGGAAAAAGCAGAAAAATTCATTAACAAAGTGAAGAAGATATTAAAAGAAAGTAAAATCAAAGTACAAATACCTACCGATATCAAAAAACCCTTGTATACCATGTGTAATTACTAGAAAAAGAAAGTTGAAAAGTTTATAGATAAATTTGAACCAAGTAAAAGGAGTAAGTACAAAATATTAGAATGGTCTCAGAATTCTGCTAAAGATAGTGATTCGAACAGACACGATAAATATAAAAAATATTATCAAAGTAGTATAAGCACCTCCAAAGATGAGAAAAAGGCTATTGAATGGAGATTAGAATTTGCAAAAAAACCTCAAAATTCAAGTAAAACAAACAGTACCATAACTGAAACAAGAGTAATTATATTAGAACCTAAAAATAATAAGAAGCTGTGATTAGAGATACTGGTCAGAAAAACAATTACAATCGAGACCAAAGTATATAGAACTTTCAGATGCCTACTTTTGCAACAACCAACAAGATGTATATATAATTCTGGAGGAACAATTTTGCTAGAAAATTAAGATCAAAAAGCTTTTTATATTCTTTTAAATCTGATGTTAAAGAAAATTCAGACTTGATGAAGCTCCAAACAGCAAGATTCTTTCTTATATATAGAAGAGAACCAAAAATACCTATTTCTGAATCTCACAAAATATTAGAAGAAACTCTTTGACAAGATTGTATACTCTTGTAGAAGATCTGCCCTCTAAAAGAAAGTAAGCCAAGAATAATATTAATAGATTACAACAATAACAAAAGTTCTACTGGGATAGCAAAATAAAGAAAGTAAGAAAGCTGTTCAAAAAAGAAGAACAAGTTTTGTGCTATGATGCTGCTAGAAACAAGAGTTTTACCAAAAAATTCTTACCAAAATGGAAAGGACCTTACTTTATCCATCAAAGAATAGCACCAGATATATACAAACTTTATACTATGGAAGAACAAATATTAGAGACACCAATTAATGCTTATTTTCTAAAAAAAATACTATACATGACAATCATAGAACTCCATAATTAATATTTAAACATTATTTATTTTATTATTAATTTTCTTATTATGATTATTGAACTTTTATTAACTTTTAATAGCAAAAGATATAAAATTTATTTAAAACAAAAAAATAGAGAAAAAGAAAAATATATACAAAAAAAGAAGAAAACAAAAAAAGAAACTATTTACAAAAAAAAATTAATTGTTCTACATCTGGCACCAGAATGTTCTGAATCAATGACCTTAAATTTTCCACCTGTAATCTCAACCTACTTCGTTCTCATTTCAATACCGAATACTGTGTATTTCTATAAAAATTTCTCTGTTCAATTTCCCTAATATATATCTCTCTATCCTCTACTGCCTCTTCTAAATCTTTGATCCTTTCTTCTAAATGTTCTATTTCTCTTCTCAACTCCACAACTTGTCTTCTCAATAATGCTACTTCTCGTGCTAACCTAAATTATTATTATTAAATTATTATCATTATTATTTTTATTACTTATTATTTTATTATTTTATTATTTTTATATTATTATTATTATTACCTTTAGTTTTTATCTTGAAGCATATTAATTGTTTTGTACAAGGTATTTTGCCCACCTCTTCTCCTTTGACAGTTTGATGTTCGATATCTTAGTAGCATTTTCTTATTATTTTTCTATTATTATAATTATTATTAGTATTATTATTATTATCACTACTATTAGTATTACTATTATATATTATTTTTCTATCCTTACGTATTAAAATTTCTTTCGATTTAATTTTTTACGAACACTATTATTATACTATTTATATCCTTATTCGATATTACCTCTATATTATACAAACCTTAAATTTTGTTACTCTTATCTAAATTTAGTAATTTTAATATATTTAAAAATAGGACAATTAAAAAATTTTTAAATATTATCGATTGTAGTAGAGTGGTAATGATTTGCGACTGCAGCTAGCAGCCATAAGTTTAATACCTGATAATTGTCTGAAAACTCTGCTGACAAGTAATGATCTTTAGTATCTGCACTACAATAGTTCTTTTATAATTTAGTATAATATAGTATTTTATTATTACAAAAATTTGTACTATAGATAGACAAATTTTTGAATATTGATTTACAAAAAGATTATCATGAAACTTTATTATATTTATATAGATTTTTGTTTTGTTTATCTTTTTATTTTTATCTTTTCTCTCTCTTCTTTTTTTTTATTTTACACTATTATGGCAACTGTAGTAGATATAGTTTTATAAGAATTAAATGAAACAGAGCCAACTAATGTTAATGTAGAAGCTCCTCCTTATTATCGATCTGATAATACTAGAAAGAAAGTTCGAGATACTTCTCAAGCATTAAGAAATATGGCAAGACAAAGAAATGATAATGCCAACTGAATTAGAACCTTGGTTTATGCTTATTATTTAGGAGAGTTATTAGAAACAAGACCTAGAACTCTAGCCCAATGAACAGTTCTAGCAAACCTCCTAACAAAATACTATGAAAATACATCTGTTCGAACCTATAAACTATTCTCTTTCTGTGGAATAGAAGCAATCTACCAAACCAAGTTTTTGATCTTGACAAACATAAAACAGCTTCCAGCTGCTGTTCTTGCCCTTCTCTACTAAATTTTTGTGGAACTCAAAAATAAACCTGGAAGAATATTGACCTTTAAGAAAAAGCCGTTTTGGCTCATATCTCTACAACCACTGGTCCAATCAAGATAAAACAACTACTATTCGAATCAGCTCATTGAGACGAATCTAAAAATGGTGCGATCATCCAAATCCAATTACAGGAAGCTAAAATCGGACCAAAAATGTGATTTGATCAAATGTTCTATATATAGATCACATGTAGCGCAACCTGATTGGCTGATGATCAACTGCGCGAAATTCTTTACATATAGCATATCTATTACATATCATTTTTATAGCATCTATATTATTTATTTTATATATTATATATATATTATTTGTCTTATATATAGTATCTGTATTATATATATTATATATCTTATTAGTACTATTTGTAATATTTGTAGCATAGGAACTAGATATAGACCGTTACGTTTCTATAAAATTGAAAAGTATAAAAGCAGCAGATGTGGACCTTGAGTTTGACATTGTGTCTTCATACACTTTTAATAATAAAATATCTTTTGAACTTAAAATCCTAAACAGTTATTAGTATCTTCATATACTTTTAATTGTTGCCTTTTTCATAATTGCAAATTGCCTTAAATCTTCTTTGTTAAGTTTTGTAAAAATGCTATACCGACTTAGTTAAAATACAGTAATTCAGGATATTATACAAAGTATTCACTGGCTACAGTCGCTCTAGTTACCTATTATCTTTAAAAAAAGTGGATATAGGATAACAAGGTTGTTTCGGTGATACTTATTAAACATGTGTATATCGATTTTAGTTAATGAGTTATCTGAGATAATAAAAGCTATAGAGTTTACTGTGTCAGCTCATTCTATTGATTTGGTAAAGACAGATTGTATGAAAATTGGATACACAAGGTATTCATTTTAATTATTTTGAATTAGTTTGCGATGTTAAAGCCATTATTTAAATATCTTAAATTTTTTAGCACTGTCGAAATTGCTCATATCAGATCTACCGATAGAAGAAATAATTAACACAAGATTTGGATATCATTTTTTTTCATTAGATAAGTCTATTCAACAATAGTATTTGTTAATTTCATTGTTACCAACAATGTTATTTTATTTATTTTATATTGTTTAGGATCTGAGCTTATTGAATATATAATGCATTTGATGATTATTTGGTTTTAAATTTATTGAAAATAAATTAGTTAAGTCTTATTGGTAAAAGCCAATACATACTTGATACATTAGTCAGTAATTAAGGATAAGGTTAAAATATGATTTTGAGAATAATGAAGATCACATTCTGGAGAAAAATTCAAAGAATTCAAATGTGTGCTATTGTAAATGAGATTATTTTTGTGTATTTAAATGAAATCTACTTGTAAGAAGTTTTAATTCAATAAATTGTTTCAAGTGCATTTATTAATAACAATTGTATTTGCATAAACTACATAAAATGTATTAATCAATGAAAAGTCTGTATAAATCTAAAGTTTATTTATTACAATTGATCAAAAGAGAAGAATTGTTCATAAAGTATAAAAAAAACTATTTCCCATAAAAATATTATAAAAAAAAAAGATAAAAAGCTATTTACAAAAAAAAAAAAAAAAAAAAAAAAGAATAAATATATTTTATAAATTTCTTTAGAATTGTTAGTAAAATATGGCCACTATGGATTTGTCAAGGATGTACTCAGGAACAAATCAAATTTTTACATGAAATTTAATGTACGTATATATAGACTTTACTTCTTGAAACCCAGACACAATAAAGTTAGTACTGGATCATAAATAAAAAATAAAAAGTGATTCTAATCTGAAAGAGCAAGAAGCACTATAGTCAACAAACAAAGACAGGATAACTTAGATCTGTAAATGAAATTTAACTGAAGCCTTAGAAGGTATACAAGTCATAGAATCATGAAAGATCTTATAGTAAGATCCAAGGTTTTTAAGTCTAGGGTATGAAAAAGAAAAGTGCGCAAACTGCTATATAAAAGATCTGGGTCTCTTACATTTCAAGAAAACCGTATTAGGTTAAAGATCCTGTGATTTATACCTAAGTCTAATACATGCAGTCTACCTTTTGGGTAGTTTTTTTTTTAAAAAGATGACAATTGATTTTTTTTATATGTAATCGATTTGTAATATTAAATAAAATTATAATTGATTGCTTTTTAATCTGTTGTGTATCAATTAGCAACTAATATCGATTATTATCAATTTTCTAATCGATAATAATTGACTCTGCTGATGATAATTGATATCTACCCTATTTAAAAATTTTCTGATGACTAAACTACTTAGCAATCTATATATGTCTGTACTAATAAAAAATCATTTGATCTATTAACAAGAACTTATAAAAAGTTCTGCAAAGAAGACCCAGATGTGACCTACCTAAGTGGTTCATCTTTATCTCATCTGGAATTTCCAATTTACTAAAAATTTATACTCCAAGAGTTTATAGTAGCTGCCTACTGACCTT